AAAGTAGTTATATATTATCATCTTTCTTTTTACATCTTCTTTTAATAATTCTTATAAGTCAGTTTTTTAACCGGTTTTTAGATAAAGATAAAAAAAATAGTCAGTCCATCACATTTTGGTTTAGTTGTTATTGATCCTTAAAAATGAAGTGAGATAATATGTGTTAAAGTATAAACTATTAAGTTGATGAATTGACTTGTGAACCTTTTTTAATTTCGAAAGTAGTTACATATACTAGTGAAAATATAAAAGTTACTGCATGACTTTCTTTTATAACTAGTTTTAAACTTTGTCTATACATACGTGGGTGTTTGGTGTTTGTTTCAGTGCTTATTAAAAAAAATTAGAGATTGAGAAAATAAATAATAAATATTTTTAAGTTTATAAATAAATTTTGAATAGAATTAACATAAAAGTTAATTTATATATTTTAAAAGTTAATATATTTTAAGAAATATAAATAGTAGATTTAGTAAAACTATAAAGGATAAAACATGCACAAAAATAGAGTATATCTTCTAAAAATATAAAAGATATACATAAATATGTAGAGAAAACTCTTCTAAAAATATAAAAGATATACATAAATATGTAGAGAAAACTCGCTAAAAATACAAATCGATGTATGAAAAGACTGATCTAATATATATTGTTAGACTTATCTGATTAGTGTACTCACAAACTTGTCTAATATATATTGTTAAACTCGTCTAATATATATTGTTAAATTTATCTAATCAATATATGAACACATTTATCTAATGTGTTTTATTAGACTCGTCTAATCTAAATTGTTAGACTGGTCTAATTAATATTATGTATATTGCAAAAATAATTTAAATCAAGTTGTTTAATATATATTAATAAATTCATCTAATATATATATATATATATATATATATATATATATATATGAGCAGAATCATCTAAAGTATGCTCTAAAGTATATTTTTCTTATTATATTATTTTCTTATATTATAAAATAATAGATAATAGATAAATAATAAAAAAATATAAATGTATTATTATTATAATTATAAAATTGAATATAAATAATTTTTATAGTTTATTGTAAATGGTATTTTATTTTTATTTGTAGGTATAATTAAAAAATGGTTAAGTTCAAAAGACAATAAAATTATAAAAATCGATTAAACTTAAAGAAATAATTACTTAAAAAACAAAATTGAGAAAATAATTGTTTTAATTTAAAAAACTATTTAAATGGTAAAAGTTAAAAGTAAAGATTAACATGAAGAAAATCCCTTTCTATATATATATATATATATATATATATATATATATATATACTAAAAATATAATTTTAATTTTTAATTATTAATTAATATCTTAAATAAAATAAAATAAAATAATTATTATCTTTATATATTAAATTAAATTATTCTATTAAAATTAAACATTGTTAAGTATTAATCATTTAAATTATAATGTTATTCTATACTTATATCTTTTAAATAATAATATATAAAAATTATTTTTATTTTAAAAAAATAGGCTGACGGCTCACTAATTTAAAAGACTAATCCACAGATCCTAACTAGTTTTTCCATCTCTAATTATGGAACATTTTTTTAAAGACAGGATTAAGTCAAACATGTTTCTCAAAAACGAATATTGAACCATGTCCTTTCTAGAAGCTAAAAAAGTTGTTGAATTTAGTTATAACCATTCCCTTCCTTTTTATTTCTAGATACTGATTTTATTAACCATTCACTGGACAAGGCAAAATAATATTAAATTTCACAGACAGTAGAAGTCTGGACATTTTTTTTTATTATATGAGAATACAATATTTACAGGGGAGTGCTTATGTGATGTTCTCTTCCAAATGTAAAAAATGAAATGCCTGGGAACTCAGAAAGAAGAAGAAAACGAAAGAAACTGTATCTGACTAGTTAGTCAATGTTAAGCCTCCACCGTTGCTGATGATAGATAAAGTACTGTTTCATGTGTATCAATATCTCTTTGTGTGTTCTCTATATTTGTATAGAACTAACCCATGCCGAAGATCCCATTCAGATGTGGTACATCAAACATTCTTCTACACAATGCATGTGCAGCAAAGCCATGTTCCATTTGGATCAGCAAGGAACGATGATGTTACCAATGTGCACTCTTTGCTGTAATCTATGATGTCGTGTTCGGATATTTTCCAGAACCATCTATGACGATTTCAAACAGATCAGCCTCAGACTCCTCGTCAAAATCCAATGTTCGATTATGGTTATGGTTATTATTATTATTGTGGCTTCCTTTGGTTGTGGAGCGATTGAGCCATTGAGAATCGATCCTTCCCATTGAGAATAGCTCCTTGCTGTCATCGTAGCCCAAGGTAGCTGCAGGGGAATTTACGAGTGGGGCTATGAAGCATGGATTTGGTGTTCTCTGGGCATTCGCAGGTGCATATTTGAATGCACTTTGTCCAAAATTAACTAACACCATAATGTCTATATTTGCAGCCATGATCGGAAAAAGTGGTGTGCCAAACTCCTCTGTCTGGCAGTGGATTACATGCATCAGATCAGAGTCTATTGTGAAGAAAACCTTCTTCTGCCTTGGATCAAATCCACAACCGATCACTTTATCAGTTCCCACCCACTCTGCCTTCTCCGATTCACGTACAAGTTTCATTCCTGTAACCAATTTTCATACTTAGATGTCTCAAAACATACATACTGGAAATATAAATTGCGTGTTGTAAGTAAAAGTAACACCGTCTTTGATTCCCTTCACAGATTTTTTGTTCTGAAAGCCATTTTCTAAACAATCTGCCACCATTTAACAACCAGTTTCTCATCCAAAAGTTCTTAATTTTTTAATTGTATTTAAAATAAGTTTTCAAAACTAAAAAGCAAAAGCAGCCCGTTTTGTTCTTGCATCTCCATCGCTCACACCACCCTCCATCAGTTGTGTAAACAGCCTTCTTTAATCATTGCATTCCGAAAACCACAGACAGCTTTTGAAAGACACCCTGAGTATATGTATCGTTTTCTACTCGCTGTTTTAACCCCCAATAGACAAAACAAAATAACGAAACGAAAAAAAAAAGACATGGTTGTTACAAACTACTACAACTTCACCTAATCTGGTCTACAAAACTGTACCTAATTTGGTCAAATGGTAGCAAACAAACGAAGGTGAATCAGTAATCTAATAGCAGGTTAATGATTTATGAGTTAATGGTTACCATCAAGATAGAGAGAACCGTTGGAGTTGAAGCCAATGCTACCGGGATAGCTACCGGGGACTCTCAAAGGAACAGAACCCCCTGCTGTTAAACCCAACGAGAACATCACAGATTCACCTTTCCCACTCTCTCCTTCAACATTGTTGATTTTATTACTTCCATTCCCACTGGTAACATGAACCAAAGCTTCGGAATTCCCTTTGCCATTGGAGTTCCCTTGAACCAAAAGCTTGGTCTTCTCACCTTCCCCACTCTTTCCAACAGATTCACACTCATCGCCACGTGAATACAAAATGGTAATCTCAAAATATGCTTCTTGTGGGAACGCACAATTCCCCAGGGGAGGGCCAGGCAAAGGCAAAGCCCCTCTAATGATAGAAGCAACGCCCAGAGAACCATTATTGTTGTTGCCTTGATGAAACTTTTTTATACCAGGATTCAACCTGACCTTCTGCATAAACTCAGCAGATCCACGTGCCACTTCCCAGCTTATCTCAGCCTCTGATTCTCTCCCAAAATCACTCCCTCCCGGTGCGGCACACGCTCCCAAAAGTGCCGATCTTTTCGAAGGAGACGGCGTGTAACTCTTGTACCCCGTGAAGGCAAATCGTGACCATCCATTTTCAACAGCATCAGAAGCCATGGATGGATGATCACCCCAATTGAAGACGCTTCTTTTCCCCGACACCCCACCGCCGCGAAAAACATAGTAATTGTAATTACCCTTGTTGCCGTTCTTGCTCCCCTGATCCAGCTGAAAAGGTTGCTGATGGATCCTGGAAACTGAAATCCCTCCCTGCACACTCTCCACCCTGGTCAAACTAGTCGGTTCAACGAAATTCGTGCCATTTCTTTTGCGACACCAACGGAAGAGAAAGACCAACGTAAGGGTGGAGACGCATCCGACGGCGGCTGCGGCCACCGCGACGTGTATCCACTGGCTCATCTGTTTCTTCTAGTGTTGGATTTGAATTGGGTTTGTTTGGTTTGCGGGGTTGTATGCATAGATAGTTTGTTGGTGTGATGAGAAAATAAAAAATAAAAAATAAAAGAATAGGTGGAGTGATGGGTAAGGGAGAAAGGAATGAGTGAGAGAGGGGAAATTGAAATTATGAAACGGGTTGGGTGGCGTGGAGGCGGGCGTGGACTAAGACCGGTTCAATCAAAGAAAGCATGCAGGAGGAGAAGAGAAGAGGGGAGAATAGAAGAGATGTAGCATTACTACTAGAAGGACACACGACGAGGTAAGGGTAAGGTAGCGTTTTTGTTTGATTAAGAATTGTTTGGCAGTTCCCTATAATTTAATACTGTGGGAACCGACAACCTCTCCTCGTTAAGCAAACAACGCGTTTGACGATTTATTGTGTCTTCTCATTTCAAAGGAGANTATAAAAATTATTTTTATTTTAAAAAAATAGGCTGACGGCTCACTAATTTAAAAGACTAATCCACAGATCCTAACTAGTTTTTCCATCTCTAATTATGGAACATTTTTTTAAAGAAAGGATTAAGTCAAACATGTTTCTCAAAAACGAATATTGAACCATGTCCTTTCTAGAAGCTAAAAAAGTTGTTGAATTTAGTTATAACCATTCCCTTCCTTTTTATTTCTAGATACTGATTTTATTAACCATTCACTGGACAAGGCAAAATAATATTAAATTTCACAGACAGTAGAAGTCTGGACATTTTTTTTTATTATATGAGAATACAATATTTACAGGGGAGTGCTTATGTGATGTTCTCTTCCAAATGTAAAAAATGAAATGCCTGGGAACTAAGAAAGAAGAAGAAAACGAAAGAAACTGTATCTGACTAGTTAGTCAATGTTAAGCCTCCACCGTTGCTGATGATAGATAAAGTACTGTTTCATGTGTATCAATATCTCTTTGTGTGTTCTCTATATTTGTATAGAACTAACCCATGCCGAAGATCCCATTCAGATGTGGTACATCAAACATTCTTCTACACAATGCATGTGCAGCAAAGCCATGTTCCATTTGGATCAGCAAGGAACGATGATGTTACCAATGTGCACTCTTTGCTGTAATCTATGATGTCGTGTTCGGATATTTTCCAGAACCATCTATGACGATTTCAAACAGATCAGCCTCAGACTCCTCGTCAAAATCCAATGTTCGATTATGGTTATGGTTATTATTATTATTGTGGCTTCCTTTGGTTGTGGAGCGATTGAGCCATTGAGAATCGATCCTTCCCATTGAGAATAGCTCCTTGCTGTCATCGTAGCCCAAGGTAGCTGCAGGGGAATTTACGAGTGGGGCTATGAAGCATGGATTTGGTGTTCTCTGGGCATTCGCAGGTGCATATTTGAATGCACTTTGTCCAAAATTAACTAACACCATAATGTCTATATTTGCAGCCATGATCGGAAAAAGTGGTGTGCCAAACTCCTCTGTCTGGCAGTGGATTACATGCATCAGATCAGAGTCTATTGTGAAGAAAACCTTCTTCTGCCTTGGATCAAATCCACAACCGATCACTTTATCAGTTCCCACCCACTCTGCCTTCTCCGATTCACGTACAAGTTTCATTCCTGTAACCAATTTTCATACTTAGATGTCTCAAAACATACATACTGGAAATATAAATTGCGTGTTGTAAGTAAAAGTAACACCGTCTTTGATTCCCTTCACAGATTTTTTGTTCTGAAAGCCATTTTCTAAACAATCTGCCACCATTTAACAACCAGTTTCTCATCCAAAAGTTCTTAATTTTTTAATTGTATTTAAAATAAGTTTTCAAAACTAAAAAGCAAAAGCAGCCCGTTTTGTTCTTGCATCTCCATCGCTCACACCACCCTCCATCAGTTGTGTAAACAGCCTTCTTTAATCATTGCATTCCGAAAACCACAGACAGCTTTTGAAAGACACCCTGAGTATATGTATCGTTTTCTACTCGCTGTTTTAACCCCCAATAGACAAAACAAAATAACGAAACGAAAAAAAAAAGACATGGTTGTTACAAACTACTACAACTTCACCTAATCTGGTCTACAAAACTGTACCTAATTTGGTCAAATGGTAGCAAACAAACGAAGGTGAATCAGTAATCTAATAGCAGGTTAATGATTTATGAGTTAATGGTTACCATCAAGATAGAGAGAACCGTTGGAGTTGAAGCCAATGCTACCGGGATAGCTACCGGGGACTCTCAAAGGAACAGAACCCCCTGCTGTTAAACCCAACGAGAACATCACAGATTCACCTTTCCCACTCTCTCCTTCAACATTGTTGATTTTATTACTTCCATTCCCACTGGTAACATGAACCAAAGCTTCGGAATTCCCTTTGCCATTGGAGTTCCCTTGAACCAAAAGCTTGGTCTTCTCACCTTCCCCACTCTTTCCAACAGATTCACACTCATCGCCACGTGAATACAAAATGGTAATCTCAAAATATGCTTCTTGTGGGAACGCACAATTCCCCAGGGGAGGGCCAGGCAAAGGCAAAGCCCCTCTAATGATAGAAGCAACGCCCAGAGAACCATTATTGTTGTTGCCTTGATGAAACTTTTTTATACCAGGATTCAACCTGACCTTCTGCATAAACTCAGCAGATCCACGTGCCACTTCCCAGCTTATCTCAGCCTCTGATTCTCTCCCAAAATCACTCCCTCCCGGTGCGGCACACGCTCCCAAAAGTGCCGATCTTTTCGAAGGAGACGGCGTGTAACTCTTGTACCCCGTGAAGGCAAATCGTGACCATCCATTTTCAACAGCATCAGAAGCCATGGATGGATGATCACCCCAATTGAAGACGCTTCTTTTCCCCGACACCCCACCGCCGCGAAAAACATAGTAATTGTAATTACCCTTGTTGCCGTTCTTGCTCCCCTGATCCAGCTGAAAAGGTTGCTGATGGATCCTGGAAACTGAAATCCCTCCCTGCACACTCTCCACCCTGGTCAAACTAGTCGGTTCAACGAAATTCGTGCCATTTCTTTTGCGACACCAACGGAAGAGAAAGACCAACGTAAGGGTGGAGACGCATCCGACGGCGGCTGCGGCCACCGCGACGTGTATCCACTGGCTCATCTGTTTCTTCTAGTGTTGGATTTGAATTGGGTTTGTTTGGTTTGCGGGGTTGTATGCATAGATAGTTTGTTGGTGTGATGAGAAAATAAAAAATAAAAAATAAAAGAATAGGTGGAGTGATGGGTAAGGGAGAAAGGAATGAGTGAGAGAGGGGAAATTGAAATTATGAAACGGGTTGGGTGGCGTGGAGGCGGGCGTGGACTAAGACCGGTTCAATCAAAGAAAGCATGCAGGAGGAGAAGAGAAGAGGGGAGAATAGAAGAGATGTAGCATTACTACTAGAAGGACACACGACGAGGTAAGGGTAAGGTAGCGTTTTTGTTTGATTAAGAATTGTTTGGCAGTTCCCTATAATTTAATACTGTGGGAACCGACAACCTCTCCTCGTTAAGCAAACAACGCGTTTGACGATTTATTGTGTCTTCTCATTTCAAAGGAGAGAGAGCAAAGCAAGAAGACTAATAAGAACTGTGGTTGAGTTGCTTCTGCTTTCCATTAGCAAGCACTTCCAGAAACTCAAATTATGACCTCAGGCAGTAAAATAAAAAGTTTTTTTTTTAACCTTATTTAATACATTATTCTTCTTGAAAACATAAACAGAATAAAAATTTAACATACAAGTATCTTCAGCTGCCACTCTATCTCTAATTGGAGATCGAATCCCGTATTTAAATTAAAGAAGTTAAGGATCTACAGAGATTACAAATTTAACAAATTGTTTGTAAAGTGAGGTCATTTGGTTCAGTAATCAGTAAACTGAGTTCTATACATTTCTTGTATATAATTCTTACCAAAAAAAATTCTTATATCCAGAGTCTAAATTTAACTTAATTTTATAAAATCAATTTATAAAATAAAATTTATATTCATATTAAAAATTCACCTTATCTTGTTTCTCTATAAATATCTTTTAATAATTTAATATTTTATTAAATATTTAAAAAATTGATTGATATGACTTGAATAATAAAAGGCCAATCAAGTAAAAAGAGAAGAAGAAGAAAAAATGAAAATGGAAACATAAAAGATATAATAAATAAATGTAAAAATTAGAATGTGAGGAAGAACTAAAATAAGCAGCAGGACTATCCTAATAGAATTGAGGAATAAAATTACTAATGTGAAGAGAAGAGAGATATAGGAAAATAGTTTCATAATAATAAACGCGATGATTAAAGAAGAAAGGTCTAATAATGAAGAAGTAAAAGAGTATAACTATAGAATGTAAGAAAATAATTATAATTATTAGCAGAGATAGCAGTTTTTACCTGTTAAAAAAGAAAACGAAATCTATGAAAGAAAATGTCGATTTTCTTGTTATCTTGTGGATGGCAAGAGAACGTAGGCTTTTCAGAGAGAAAAAGTTGGAAATGTTAATGATTGTTTTTTCTGAGTTCTTATTCATCTGGCAGAGACATTTTGGTTGGGTTCTCTCCATCTTGTATTACCATTTTTGATCAAATACTTCTGTTCTCTGGGTCTACTGGTCCAATAGTCTTCTACTACCAAAATAATTTGAATAAAAAGAAAAAAAAAAACAGATTTTCACATAGAACTCGTGGTCCACTAGGATGCCAGAAAAACGAGGCTAATAGAAACTGAAAAAAAAAAAAATACAAGAACGTACATGAAAGACACCATAACATGAAAGGACAATGATTCACATATTGCAAACACTTATCCAACACACTTTTTTTTTCTCTCTTTTTTTTTTTCCTTTTCTGTCTTCATCAAATAAACATGTGTTTTAGCTTAATTATATATATATATATATATATATATATATATATATATGTATTAAGATATTATTATTATTAAATAAAATTTGCAACAAAAATCAAGGGAGACGTGTATGTATATGTATTAAAAAAACTGTTTTTTCTCATTAATTATTAAAAAACAATTATTATAGTTTTGTATATTGTCATTAAGAAGGATAACATGTAGTTTAATCAATCTCTTATTGAATACGATAATTGATTTAAAAGATATAGTCAACATAAATATCGAATATAAAATTTAGTTATGAAAAAAATTGAACTGTAATGATTCGAGAAGGAATAGACTTACAACATTCCATTTGAATACAGTGGAGGTTTTTTCTTCGAGTGAATGCACTCTGCCACTGATGCACCTGACATCATAATTCATTGTTATATGTTTAATACTAACTAATTAAGGTTTGAGAGAAAAACACTTTCACATGTAGAATTTGTCTCATTCCATGAATAATGGTTCTCTCTTCCAGATGGCAAACTCATTGCGAGGGACTGTCCTTAAATTATGGCCATGCATGGACCGTGGTGGGCCCAAATTTGAAGCAGCCGAATAAATATAACACAGACTTTATTAATGAAGGAAAATCATTTTTAGATCCAGATAATTTTTTAATAATAAAATTATATAATTATGGTTGTGAGTAAAGAAAAATTATCACTATTACTTTTCTCGATTAAAAAAGGTTGTTATAAAGTCATTTTTTATGTCAATATATCAGTCGTCTTACATGAACTATTTATCTGGAGGATCGACAGAGAGATACGACTTCTGTATTACGAAGGTTGGACAGATAGGTATGGTTACTGTGGTCGGTGAAAAATACAGATTTTTTTTTTAAATAAAAGCATATAATTTAATTAATTTGCTATTAAATAAAGAAAAAGTAAAATATGTTCTTAAACCAGGTGATAAATAATAAACCGAATTACATATTTTTTTCTTCTAATTTTTCTAAATCAAATTACTGATATTATTTTTTATTTCCATTTCCCCAATCTCTAACAAATAAGGGATTATTGAAAATTTTGGAATGTGAAATATGGGGTGCCTGCCGGAGGGTTTTTGTTGCCTTATTTTTTTCATATACTTTTATGACACTGTATAACAGTAACAGGGATTATCCTGGTAACGGTAATTTATGTTTGATAAATCATATTCTGTGTTCCAATTTTAATGAATTTGACTTTCAAAATATAGCTTTATATTGGTTTTATTCATATATATATATATATATATATATATTAATTATATATACTTATATACTATATATAATAATAATATTAAATTGA